GATTCTCTCTTTGTCTTTGACATTTGCCATTTTAATGATGATGTGTCTTGGAGTGGACCTCCTTGGGTCCCTCTTGAGTGGGGTCCTCTGTGCCTCCTGAATCCATGAGAGCCTTCCTCTCCTCCAATTAGGGAAATTTTCCATCATTACTTTTTCGAGGAGGTTCTCTATTCCTTGCTCCTCTTCTTCTCCTTCTGGTATCCCTATTATACGGATATTATTGCGTTTCAGGTTGTCCTGCATTTCCTTAAATGCTTCTTCATTCTTTTTGAGCCGTTTTTCCATTTCTTGTTCTTTCTGGGAGCTTTTTTCTACCTTGTCCTCCATCTCACTGATTTGATGCTCGGCTTCATCCAGCCTGCTTTGGATTCCTTCTATTGTGTCTTCAATTCAGAAATGGTATTCTTCATATCCTCTTGTGTCTTCTTGATAGTTTCTATGTCCTTTTCCAGGCTGATATAGTTTGCTGTAAGATCCTGATAGTTTCTCTGCAGTTTCTCATAGTTCTCTTTGAGCTGGCTGAGCTCATTGAGCTTCCTTAGAACCATTGTTTTGAATTCCATATCTGATAGTTCCCTTGCCTCTATTTCATTGAGCTCTCTCTGTGGGGAGTCCCCTTTTCCACTCATCTGCGGGGAACTTCTTTTTCTTCCCATTTTTGTGAGAGTCTGTTAAGTATTTTTGTCCTTTACTTTTCTTTCTGGCTTGCCTCTGATGATGTCAGTTGTTGACCCTATAGGGCCTTGGGTTGTTTGTTTGAGCCTTTCAGGAGTCTAATGCCTGTGTCTGACTCCTGCTTGGAGCAGCTCTTTGACCCCTTTGGTCAGAGCTGAGCTATTTTTTGGGATCTCTCTGTGCTTTCACGCAGCCTCCTTGAGAGCGTTCCCAGCGCGGCAGGGTCCCCCGCCTGCCTGGGCTCGCATGTGCTTGCTCCAGACCAGGGGGCTTATTCGCGACCTCCCGTACTCATCTGGCCTCCCTGGCACACGAGTTTTGCGGCACTGGTCAGTTTAGGGTCTTCTATTGTGTGTTTTCCCCGCTTTTGGCTCTTTGGGTGCGTTGCTTGCCCTCGCCAAATGGGGACTACGGAAATGGGAGGAAATCAGCTCTAGGACTCTCCGGTTAATCCTGTTTCTGGTCTCTCCTCCAGGGACTCTGGGCAGCTCTACTTATTTTGTGGGCCGCTCCGCAATCGCGGCGAGTAGGTCAATTTACGCCTGCCCTTGCCCCTCTGTGCAATCCCTCGCAGGCCGTATGGGTGCCAGTCTGTGTGAGGCCTTGCCGGCAGGTGCAAGCGTTCGCCAGCCCGCGTGGGTCACACACACGCTCACCAACCCTCGCCGGTCATTCAGCGCAAGTGTGCGCGCCTGCTCTGGGTGTTTTGGGGGTGTCTATGTTTGCTTTTCAGCTTTTGGCTCTTTGGGGGTATGGCCTCTTCCCGCGCAATGGAGACTACAGCAAGGAGAAGGAGTCGGGACTCCCCGGTTCCTCCTCCCGTTCTTTCCCCAATGCCTCCGTTTCTAGTCTCCCCTCAGGGGCCTCTGGGCAGTTCTGTGACCCCTTCGGCCAGGGATCCAACCCCTGTGCGGACTGCGTTTCAATCGCAGGGAGTCTGGTTCACGCGCACCCCACTTCTGCCTCTTTGGGGTCGCGCCTTTCCAGCCCACAATGGAGACTACCGAACGGGGAGGGAGTCGGGACTCCCCGGTTCCTCCTCCCGTTCTTTCCCCAACGCCTCTGTCTCCAGTCTCTCCTCAAGGCTCTCCCAGGCAGTCTGCACTCAGCCCCGCAGCTCACACGCGCACAAGCTGTGTGCAGAGCGCACAAAAGGCAGGTTAATTGATTCCCTTATGCCTGAGCGAGATGGTAGCTGCAGAGTGGGAAGTGCGTTATCACCCGGGCTCCACCGGCTGCCGAGTCAGTTCTCTTCACAAAGTTTTCCTCACCAGTCTTTTCCCAGGCACCAGCCCACCCTGCCGCCGCCTCTACCCAGCGATCAAGGAGGGTGGCTGCCGCTGCAACTTTTGCGTTTGCCCTTTAAATGTCTTTTTGCATCCCCAGCCACCTGTCTCTGGCAGAGAGCACCCCTAAGCTTTTTGGGGTTGCGTTTTGTCTGTATTTTCTCGGCTTTAGCTGCTGTAGTTTAGGGGTTCCTGTTTATGATTCAGACCCCGTTCTTCTCGGGGGGACGCTAACTGGCCGTTTCAATGTCCCTCTGGTGCCAGTGCCCATGGGCACCCAGCCCACCCTCTCAAGCCTCCACCGCAATTCTCACCCGTTGGGATGTGTGAGAGTCGAATCCACTGTCCGCGGCACCAAGGCTCCTCTCCCACTATGGCTCCACTGCTTTCCAGGTGATTACTCCATTATTTAGTTGCAATTCCAGTTTGGTTTTGGGAGGAGGTCAGCGTGACTCCCTTTCACTCCTCCGCCATCTTTCCCAGCTCCTCTATTGTTTTCTTAATTGATATTATCTTGTTGCTTTTGTTTTCTAGATCAGAAGTTCTGCTGAGCACATGAGATTTTTATGGCTCCTAAAGAACAAGGAGAGTAAGACAAGGAAATTAAGAAGTTAATGACAATGATGAGATCTACATTACTTTGGAGTGGAATTCTAGAGCTGTTTATTGTATTTGCTTTGGTATTTACTTCAACACTGTAAGCCTTCTCATTCGAAATGTTAAAGTGAATACCCATTACTCTGAAATAATTAATATACTTTGGATATATTTCTAAGGGATTTTAAGGTGCTGATAGTTAGGGAGAACATGTGGCAAAGAGGAGATTCTTTTTTTAGACTTAATATTAAACAGCCCAATTCTATGAGTATAACCTTTATTTTGTCTAGCATTGAAATTAAAGATATAAAAAGCTAACAAAAGCTTATAGAGAACTAATATATGCCAATATTATTTTTGAGAGAGTAAAAAAGATATCCTTGTGGTGATTCCATTTCCATGGTTATTAGTGTGTAATGTATGTGTGTTTCCTGGTACTCATACTAGGTGTTGAAGAAGGGTAGAGGCTGTGAGAGCTACCTGGGAAGGCTACATGATATATAGTAGTGTAGGAATTGCTTTTGGAATCATAAAATTATGGGTTTATTCTGGTCTCTGCTACCTAACAAGCTAAATCATGAGTGATAGGCAGAGTAATGACTTGCCCAAAATGCCCACCTCTTGATCCCCAGTACCTGTGACTATATTATCTTTCATGACAAAAGGTTCTTTGAAGATATGATTAGTTAAGAATTTTGAGATGGAGAGATTATACTGGGTTATTTGGGTCGGCCCAATGCAATCAGAAGGCCGTTATAAGAGAAGGTTAAGAAGAACAAAGGCAAAAAAGTAGAGTTGGGTCAAGGGAAGCAGAGGCTAAAATAATGTGTTTTGAAGATAGAGTTAGGGACAAGGAATGTGTCTGGCCTTTAGAAGCTAGAAAAGAGATGGAAACAAATTCTTCCATGAAGACTCACACTCTGCTAACACCTTTTTGTTTTAGAATTCTGACTTCCAGAACTATAAGAAAATAAATTTCCATTTTTTCAAGGCACTAAATTTGTGATTTGTTACAGAAGTAATAAGAAGCTAATACATCATGGTTCCTTCTTTGTTTAAAAGTATCGCAAGCGCTCAACAAGTGTTACAATAGGATTCTTTTTCTAAAGTATAACACACAGATATAGGATCCACTGGGGTGCAACCCACAGGCATTATGTAGAACTATAGATAGAATATTAAAAAGAGAAAAAATTTAATTAGAAATTCTTCAGAGTGTTATAGTATTTGGAAATGTAAAAAAGAAAAAAAAAAAAAAACCAAACAAACCCTGCAGAGTATTTAAATACTGAAGGATAATCATCAGTTTTGCAGAACCAATTCACACAGCAGAATTTATATTGCATGTTCTGAGGGAGTGAATGACTTTTTTGAAGAGTAACAGGAAGAATTAATGATGACAGTTTGAATGTGATTTTATAGATTTTGAAGTTAATTTTCACACAGGTTCTAAAATTATGATATCTTGGGAAATATAGACATTACATTGCCTTAAAATAACAGTACATGATGAAATTAGAAACAAATTATACTTACAAAATCCATTTTATCCTAAAAGGAAATGGAAATTTTCAACTGCATAAATGGATGGCTTCTTGCTGTGTAAGTATAGAAACAGATTAAATTAGAATAGATTTATCTTTTTACTATATTAGATTTTCTGTGTTTCCATAACATCAAATATCTCTTAATCCATTGTCAATAAGGTATCAGAGTAAGTAGGCAACTTCCCATAACTATGTTTTACAACTGAACTTTCTTTTGTGTCTACTGAGATCTAGCCCTAAATCTGCAGGTATCTTTGTTACTTCTTAATGTTTGTCTTACTATTTAATTAGACTTATTATATCTAATATTGAATTAATTATTTTCACTTACCAATTTTACATCAAGTTTCCATCATTTGCTTAGGTACTCAAACTAAAAAAAAATCAAATAAGAATGTTATTATTCTTAGTTTCATATTTATATAGTTGTATCTTCCTTGTTGTTAAGTCCTACTGATTCCTTTTTTTTTTTTTTTTTGTAATATCCTTGTATTTCTTCCTCTCCAGGCTACCTGCTAATATGCCAGTTTTAATCCTCATTGTCTCAGAATTAGAGTGCTAGAAATGCCACTTAACATGTTGTAAATTCCTTTAGCTGCCAAATTCCAAAGTTATTTTCTTCTAACCCATCATGTACACTTCTGCCTTAATTATTGCTTTCATCATGTTACCCCACAACTAAAAAATCTTATGAAATGCTCTACAGCTCAAAAAGAAGTTTTAATCTACCACTGACTTTAAAGTCCTATTATTATTGTCCCACTGCACTTGAAAGCATGATCATTCTGGGGATCAACACTGAACATTGGCCTCCGGTATCTCACCTGAGCCTCAGTTGAGGCTCAATTTTTCCCCATTATCCTTAGCTAACAAAGAATGAAGACTTTTTTTTTTCAGGGGAGAACACAAACGCATCCCCACTGTCACAAATTATGCAGTTGAGTTTCCCGCATTTGGGGACATCGCAGGGGTCAGCACACCCAGACTGCAATGGGTGAGCCTCACCTTGGAAAAACCACCTTCGTGATCACGGTATATTTCCCCTGGCAGGTAAGTAAGAGAATGAAGACCTTTTCTAGGTAACTCTGTTAATGCATGTGCTAATAGTGAAGAACTTAGAAAATAACATTGTATTGTAAAATATTTTCTGAAAGTATATGTTAATATTGTTTTATTTGGATATTAATTTAAAGATATAGCAAAATTAGCAAAAATCTGTGAAGAACTCCTGCATCCCTTTAACGTATTGGCCAGTTGTTGATATTTTTCCACATTTATGTATTACTCTTTATGTATGTGGAAATATCATTATTATTCCATTTGATAATATGTTGCAACATTATGCTCTTTTACTTCTAAATACTTTGGTGTGTTTTTCTTTAGAACAAGGACTTTAACTTACATAATCATAGTTTAATTATTCAAACTCTGTCAAATATCCCAATGCTATATTTTACAGCATTTTTTTTTCTGGTTCAAAATCTAATCCAGGATCATACACTGCATTTAGTTCTTATCTATCTTTACTTCTTTAACTGGAATTATCCATCAAGTTTTCTTTTTGTTTAATGACATTGATATTTAAGATACAACCAGGTATTTTGTAAGTTTTCTCTGTGGCAGACAGAGTATTTACCCCCAAAGATGTCCACCTACTAAATCCCTGAAATCTGTGACTATATTATCTTTCATGGTAAAAGGGACATCACAGATGTGATTAAATTAAGTATCCTGACTTGCGACTGCTCGATATTATCTAAATGGATAGTACAGTATTCATAAGTCTACTGATAAGAGGAGGCAGGAAGGTTAAGATAAGAGGAGGCTATTTGTCAATAGGTAGAGATATGAAGATGCTACATTATTCATTTTGAAGATGGAGGAAAGGATCATAGGTCCAAAACTACAGGCAGTCCCTACAAGCTGGAAAATAAGGAAATAGATTTATTTAATAGGCTTCAGAAGGAACTCAGCTCTGCTGATACCTTGATTTTAGCTTCATAACACTCATTTCAGACTTTTAATCTCTAAAATAGTAAAATCATATAGTTGTGTCATTTTAAAACACTAAGCATGCAGTAATTTATTACAGCAGCAAAAAGAAGATAATATAATCTTCTAGTTTGTATTTATGTGGTGTTCTCTCATTAATGGATTCAGGTTATTTTGGGGAGAAATGCCATAGAAAGGACGTTTTGCCATGCTCAGTGCATCAGATCAGGTGAGACCTGGCAAGAGTTTGTTCCAATGTTGATGATTTAAACTTTGATCATTGTAATAATTGATGCCTGTTGAGTTTTCTCCTTTGCAGAGTTACTAGATTTTTTGTAATTAATAACTAATTTATGTGAAGATACCTTATGACTACATAAATATACTATTCCTCATCAAAATTTTGCCCACTAGTTTTACATCCAGTAATTCTTGATCAAAATAAGTAATACTATGATGATTACCAATTGGTAATGTTTTTGAATCTATTTTCCCTTATACATTTATTAGTTGGTATTCTATTTTAGAGGGAAAAAGGAAGAATGATTTAGAAACAAATTAAATCAATTATTCATTGGTGATGGGTCTGATAAGTTGCAAGAGATAAAAAGAGGTGCCAACATGTCTGTGACTGTAACTATTGAATAAAGTAAAGGTATCAGTCCGTACTGAAAAGTAAATAATTTTACCTTTTGCAACAGCATAGATGAACCTGGAGAGCATTATACTAAGTGAAATAAGCCAGTCAGAGAAATACGAGTACCATATGATTTCACTCATATGGTCTAATCTAATGAACAAACTGAATTAACAAGCAAAATAGAGCCAGACTCATAGAGAGCAGGGATCAAGCAAAAAAAAAAAAAAACAACAAAAAAAAAAAAACAAAGAGCAAAGAGAGAGAAATCATGGACATGGACAATGGTATAGTGATTGCTGGGCAGGGCTTGGGGTAGCAGAGGGTATAAGGAGTGGAAAAATACAATAAAAAATGAAGTATAAATGTAATAATTATTTAGTTAAAATCTATTTTAATCTAGGTACCTATTATATTTTCCCTCTGTCATACACAAAGACCTTATTTTTTCCTACTAAAAGTACACCTATAACATTGCTCCATATTAGTTTATGGAATTCTTCTTTAATCTTTTACACAATTACATAATATTTTATGTACTTAATAAATTTTAGATCTGTTTTACAACAGGGTACCTATAGTTAACAATTCAATATTTCACACTTAAAAGTTTAACAGAGTATAACTCATGTTAAATATTCTTACTGCACAAACCAACAACAAAAACAAAACAAACAAAATATCCACAGGTAAAAAGATATTTTGGAGATGATAGATATGCTGTGGTGAGGTTGTATTGGTGTTTGCACACCACTAAACTTATCAAATTGTATACATTAAATATATCCATTTTTATATAGTTATATTTTTAAAAAACTTTAAAATTAGGTTAAATTAGTATATGTGACAAATTGAGAATACATACTAATTTGAGCAACAAGGGTAGAGTTAAACAATCTAATTAGAAATCAAGAATAAGTATGGGCATGGGATATTTAGATACACAATTAAAATTTTAAAACCAAAATAACCTCTCATTTTAAGTTAAAAGCATACTATAAATTATTATAAACCTTATTGGGTTGGCCAAAAAGTTCATTTAGTTTTTTTCTATAAAAGACACATTTTTCATTTTCGTGAATAATTTTATTGATTTGGACACCTGTCTTCCACATGATATATAATGTTGATTGTTCTCAATTAATGTCTTAATGCCTTGATTTGATCACTGTCGGCTTCAACTGTTCTACCTACCCAATCACGGATCATTGTACAGCGGGAAATCTCTAACACGAAACTTCGTAAACCACTTTTTAAAAAATTGTTGTTAGTTACAGTTGTCCTGCCTTTTTCCCTGTTGCTCTCCCCTGCTCCACACCCCTCACTCCCACAGTCTATCCTCCTTCATTGTCCGTGCCCATGTGTCCTCTATTCGTGTTCCTTGGCTTGTCCATTCCTCTTCTCTTCCCTGTTACTCCCTCCTCCCTTCCCTCTGGTCACAGTCAGTTTGTTTTTTATTTCCGTGTCTCTGGTTCTATTTTCTCATTTGTTTTATTGATTAGGTTCCACTTACAGGTGAGATCATACGGTATTTGTCTTTCACCAACTGGCTTAATTCACTTGGCATAATACTCTCCAGTTTCATCCATGCTGTCGTGGAGGTTGGGAGTTTCTTTTTTCTTTCTGCTGCATAGTATTCCATTGTGCAAATGTGCCACAGTTTTTTGATAAGTTTTTTGTTCGATCAATCACAGCACCTTCTCCATACACTGTTCAAATCTTTTTGTGTGTGTTTCAGTTGTGTTTTTTTACCTTTCCTGAAACAATAAAGCAATATTAAAATGGCTACACAAAAATTCACCAATTTTTATGTTTTTTATAAATGCACATTGATATGACAGTTGTCACAATATAATCTATCAAAATTGTTTCTTGTTTTGAATGAAGTTAAAAGCAATTAGGTGCTACTAGAGCCACCTTACAGAAAAAAGCAAATGAAATTTTTGGCCAACCCAATAAATACACTTAAAGTAAGTTCAAGAATTTCTTCTTAATTGGAGTCTTGTCAGCTATAACAGGAAGTTTTTTTCCTTATTTTTTTATTTATTTATTTTTTTGCTTAAGATGCAAATGCATCATCATGACGCATTGCCTTTTGTTTTTGTTATTAGGCCTACCAAGTTTAACTTTACAAGTGTCTCCTGCTCTTTAAAGTTTTTCTTGTTAATTAGTGAGTGAAACAAGTCTCACTACCTTGTAGTTCTAATTTGTATACCTTTTCCTAACTAACATATTTTTAACTTGTCTGACTAACAGGAATCTTAACAGCCCCCTGCCTGATCCAGAGCTCTTCCATGGGCACTTTATAAAAAGCTCTTTGCTCCAAATCTAGACCTTGTAATATTGCCTTGGGGGACTTTTCCAGACCTCACTTTCTTTAGAACTTATTTCCAGTTGCTAGTTTTGAACTTGCCTTTACTCCTTTGGGTTGATTTATTTTTGTGTATACTCTTTTATTTTCTAGTCAATCTCCACCTCTACAGTACAGCACACAGCCCAGATGCATTCTCGCTATTACCCCCACTCATCCTCACTAAGAAGAGAAACCCAGGTAGATTGCACACTTAGTAGAAACAAAATTTAAAGTACTAATACAGAAATTATCTAAAAAATGTATAAACATAAATCTTTTTAAATAAAGGGATATCTATTAAGTTAGGTAGTTTTTGGAGGAAGACTTGATGACAAAGTAATCTTTCAATGTGTAATTATTCTGTCAGTAAATTCTACTATTTCTAAATTTAGACTATATTTCCTCCTTATTTTTTCCATAGACAGAAGACATAAAACGGCAGTAAATTTCTATATTATAATAATTTTAGAGGTTTAATATATACATTTTAACATTGGCAAACAATACCATCAAAGTTTAATCTTAATTTAACATATATTGAAATTTTAGGATCAACTTGGTAGTATGCTGATTGTTTGACCAAAAAAAAATGTGTAGTTTTTACCACAAACCTGGAAAGTACATATTATTATCTTATTTCCATGTGATACTTAGAATAATTGAGGAATCTTTCTATGATGGTTATTTATGTCTTTAGAGCACTTGTCAGACAATGGACTTTAACTTGGTCCCTATGACACTAAAAATAATATTTTGACCTACTTACTATGTTTACCATTCTCACTTAAAGAAAGAACCTGACTTTGGATAATAAAAGAAGATGATTTTGTTGAATACACAAATGCTAATTATTATATTAAGTAATAGAAACTTTATAATTTCCTAGGGTTACTCTCCATTTTAATGAAGGATAAGAAGTTTATGGTACTGGGTAAGTATCATGTTATCTTAATTCTAATACTATATCAATTTTATAATGTGTTGTTACTACATTTTTTAGGAGAGATTATAGCATTAAATATACTTTTTTATTGTTTAGCAGCAATCCTGTTTCAAAACGTTAAAATGTAAAAGAT